TATAAATCACTGAGTGGAAGTTACCACAATCTTAAAAATATCATGTCCCTAGACCGGTTTTTCTAGAAAGGGGAGTCTCCTTCCCTCAGGACATCCAGCTGAAGGTGGTGCCTTCTTAAGTAGGTGAAACATTCATCACGTCCACTGGGTCTCAGCGCTCTTTCCTTTTTTTTTTTTTTTAATGTATTTTATTTTTATTTTGGTACATGTATGTATGTGCAGGAGCCACCCTACATTTATGTCTAATTCGAGGACTGCCCAAGTTCATCTTCCCCCCTCTGCTACTTCTGCACTGAGGATTTCTAATACCCTTCAATCAAGAAATCATGAAGTAGCAAGCATGCACATGACCAACAAAACACAGACATCCACTTAGCTTTGCTCAGCTTTTCATTCTGTTCCTGCCTCTCCCCATCTATGAAATTACGTTGATCATTTCTGATTCCTTCATTGATTAACCCATGAATTAATTAAGACCTACATTCTTTTTGTTTGTTTTGTTTTTGTTTTTGAGACAGGCTCTCTTTATGTAGCCCTGACTTTCCTGGAACTTACTTTGTAAACCAGGCTGGCCTCAAACTCACAGAGATACACCTGCTTCTGCCTTATGTGCTGGGATTAAAGGTGTGCACCACCACACCTGGTGGACTTACATTATTTTTGATACATAATGAATATATATATATATATATATATATGAGGTACATATACACAGTATATAATGTTCAAATCTGTAATTGTTATATCAATTACTGCAAATATTTATCATTTTTCTTTGTTGAAAATGTTAAAAACCCATCCTTGTAACTGTTTTGAAATACACAATAGAACTTGGGAATTGTCTTAGTCAGTGTTCTACTGCTGGGAAGAGACTCCATGACCACAGCAATTCTTCAAAAACAAAGTATTTAACTGGGGCTTGCTTATAGTTTCAGAAATTTAGTCCATGATCATCATGGCAGGGAGCATGGTAGCGTGCAGGCAGACATGGTGCTGGAGAAGTAGCTGATAGTTCTACATCCGGATCAGCAGGCAGCAGGAAGAAGGGAAGAGACACTGGGCCTGGCTTTCAAAAGCCCACCTCCAGGTATAGCTTCCTCCAACAAGGCCACACCTCCTAATCCTTTTCAAGTAGTGCCACTCCCTGATAACTAAGCATTCCAATCTATGAGCCTATGGGGGCCTTATTCAGACTGCCACATGGGTATAATGGTAGAGTGCATGCTTTGCTCATGGTGTGCTTGCTTTCTAGCATCAGGGCTAAAGAGATGGCTCAGTGGTTAAGCACACTAAGTTGCTCTCTAAGGATTAGGGTACAATTCCCAGCAACCACATTGCAGTTTACAATCATCTGTAAGTCAAATTCCAGGGGATCCAATGTCCTTTCCATCCTTTGCAGGCACCAGGCATGCAGGTGGTGCACAGACATGCAAGTAGGCAAAACACTGATACACATAAAATAACAAAAGGATTATCTCCAGCACAAAAAAAGAAAGAAAAGAATGCAATAAACCACTAACTATTGTCACTGTACTGTGCTACAGAACCCAAGAATTTATACTTTCTATATGGTACCTACAACCAACCCCTCCTAGTCTCCTTCCTCTAACCCTACCCCCCAGCCTCTGGCAACTAGTGTTCTAATTTTATTTTGACATTGTGACAAATATTATGACCAAAAACAAATTAGGGAGGAAAGGATTTATTTAGCTGACACTTCCGGGCCACAATCCAGTATAGACAGATTTTTCTTTGAGCCACAGGCTCACAAAAAAAAGACAGAAACTTATTAATTATGAAAGCTTAACCTATAGCTTAGGCTTGTCCCACTAGCTCTTATAACTTAAATTAACCCATTTCTATTCATCAACCTGTTGCCATGTGATTTGTGGCTTTTACCTCTCTTCCTACATGTCTTGTTCTCTCTCCTTGTCTGGCTGGCGACTCTACCTTTCTTCTTCCCAGAGCTCTCTCTGACCAGAAGTCCCGCCTATACCTCCTGCCTAGCTATTGGCCGCTTAGCTTTTTATGAAACCAATCCCAGTGACGCATCTTCACACACTGTAAAGGGATATTGCACAACATTCCAGCACTCTAGAGAAGGGAGAGCAGGAACTCAGGGCAGGACTCTGAAGCAGAAGGCACGGAGGAATGCTGCTTGAGACTCACACTCTGGCTTGATCTCCGGCTCATGCTTAGTGTGCTTTTAAGCGAGCCCCTCCTCCAGTCCTGGGTTGTCATTCCTGAAGGCCCTCATGCTATGCGACACTTTAAATGTTTTCAATTACTTATTTGCATGTTGGGGGGCAGGTTGTGTCATAGTGCTCATGTGGAAATCAGAGGACAAGTTGCAGGAGTAAGTTCTCCCCTTCCTCCATGTGGGATCTAGGGATGGAACTCAGGTTGTCAGGCTTGGCAGCCAGTACCCTTTCCCACTGAATCACTTCATGCATCACTTTTATTAAACAAGTTTCTGAGGCTGGAGAGATGGCTCAACAATTAAGAGCATGTACTGCTCTCACAGAGGACCAGAATTTAGTTCCCAGCACCCACGTTGAGTGACTCACAAGCACCTGTATCTCTAGCTCCATAGGGTCTGAAGTCTTCTAGCCTCTACGGGCACAGACACCAATAGACAGGTGTGATTAAAAATAATAAATTTGAGACTGGGTGGTGGTGGCGCACGCCTTTAATCCCAACACATGGGAGGCAGAGGCAAGAGATCTCTGTGAGTTCAGGGCCAGCCTGGTCTACAGAGTCAGTTCTAGGACAGCCAGGGCTACATAGAGAAACCCTGTCTAAAAAATATAGTAATAATAATAATAACAATAATAATAATAACAACAATAATAATAAATTTGAATAGGTTTCTATAGCTTTCTCTTAACTGTCTGTCTTGTGTTATAGGGGCTCAATCATGAACCTAGTAATGGGTACAGAAACCTGTATGTGCTATTATGAAAAATAGCTGTGCTCATATGACCAATAGTTGGCTGGTGGATTATTAATGTACGGGGATGAGAGCGCTTCCTTCCACACATTCTCTTCCTTGCCGGTCAGACAGGATGAAGGTTGACACAACATGGGATTCCTAGAATCTCTGTTTCCTCCCTCGCTGCTCTGTTGCTGCCTGGACTAAATGCTCATCATCCTCAAGAGTTGTCATGGCATGGAGCTCATCGCTCGAAGGGGACTCTTTTCCCGTTGTTGGTTTGCTTTGGAAAACTGATGTTCTTGCTGGACACAGCGTGTAACAAAACCTTTCCACAGCTGCCTATGTGCGCATTAAGCATCTGAAAAGAGGCCCCTAAGTCACCCCAAAACCACTTTTTTTATTTTATCTTACAATATAATTTAATTCTACATATCAACCTCGGATTCCCTTGTTCTCCCCTCTCCAGCCCAATTTTTTTTTTTTTTTTTTTTTTCCCGAGACAAGGTTTTTTTTTGTTGCTTTGCGCCTTTCCTGGAACCTGCTTTGGAGACCAGGCTGGCCTCGAACTCACAGAGATCCGCCTGCCTCTGCCTCCTGAGTGCTGGGATTAAAGGCGTGCGCCACCACCGCCTGGCCTCCAAAACCACTTCTTGAAAGAAGATAGTAATAGTGACCTTAGCCCAAGAATTGAAGGACACTATCATTTTCTATATAATCTAATTTTTATTTTAATAAAGAGGTTTATTCTTAAGGTTCCCCTTTAATTCATGATATAAAAGAACTCTTTTTTTTTTCCATAGGCAGTATATTTGGATTATAATTTTACTTACATGAGTGTGTGTATGTGAAGACAACTTGTCAGAGCTGGTTCTCTCATCCACCACGTGGGAGAAAAAAATCTCAAGTTGTCAGCTCGGCAGCAAGCACCTTTACCCACTGAACCATCTCACCAGGCGCTATTTTTATAAGAAAGTTTTAATTTCTCTGTTGTCTTATGGCATGGAGGAATGAACTCAGGACACTTGTCAAGAAAGACAAGTGCATTACCACTAAGCTAGATCCTCAGTCCTTCATATGTAGTAGAATATTATTTTAAGGTGTGTTATTTTTGTTTTTGTTGCATTTGTTTAACTCCGTGAAGCTGTGTTACTGTGCCTGTCTAAAACACCTGATGGTCTAATAAAGAACTGAACAGCCAAATAGTGAGGCAGGAGAAAGGACAGGCAGGGCTGGCAGGCAGAGAGAATAAATAGAAAGAGAAATCTGAGGGGAAAGAAAGAGAAGTATCCAGAGATAGAGGAGGATATGAAGGGTCAGCCACCCAGCTACACAGCAAACCACCGAGTAAGAGTAAGATTTACAGAAGTAAGAGAATGGGAAAAGCCCAGAGGCAAAAGGTAGATGGGATAATTTAAGATAAGGAAAGCTGGCAAGAAACAAGCCAAGCTAAGGCCAGACATTCATAAGTCTCTGTGTGTGACTTATTTGGGAGCTGGGTGGAGGGCCCCCAAAAGAGCAGAAACAAACGATAACATTTATAGGCACTTACTTTATTATATAAAGAAAAAACTTATGCTGGGCATGGTGGTGCATGCCTTTAGCACCAGCACTCAGGAAGCAGAGGCAGGCAGATCTAAGGGAGTTCAAGGCCAGCCTGGTCTATAAAATGAGTTCCAAGCAGGGCTACACAGAGAAACCCTGTCTCAAAAAAAAGAAAGAAAGAAAGAAAGAAAGGAAGAAAGAAAGAAAGAAAGAAAGAAAGAAAGAAAGAAAGAAAGAAAGAAAGAAAGAAAGAAAGAAAAAAACTGAAGAAAGAAAAAAACTGAAGAAAGAAAAAACTTTAAGGAATCAGAATATGTCCAGATAAACTAACCAGAACTAATACTCTGATAGTATATTTGAGGTTTTCTCCAAAACCAACAGATAATGGGTAATATTTTGGGAGTCACCTTTAACTCTCACCACCCAAGTGTTTGTGGAAGAAAGTCTGGAGTTGCTGCCATGCATCCAACTGGGCCATGGCATGAGGCTTAGGCTCCCCTCCAAAGGTGATGTTAGCCCCCACCAGGAGGTGCATGCCCGCCTTGCACAGGGGGAAATAAGGGGGCTCAATATAATGCCCTGCTTCTGGGTAGCAGATGATCTGGGGCTTCTCCTTCCCATGGGCCTGCAAGCGTTTGGAGATCTCATTGGCATAGAACTCGCTCTTCCAGTTGTGGTCATCCTGACCTACAATGAACAGGAAGGTCGTATCTGACCTTTCCACTGGGATGAAGCTCTTCTGTTCTACCAAAGGGCTTTGCAGACCTTCCACAACATCCATGAGGCCATCTTTGGTCATTCTGACTCGATTTCTCAGAAGAGACACTGGAGGGATAGTCTCATCCTTGTAGTATATGGTGTTCCCAACAGCAGCCACAGAGCCATTAATGATGACAGCAGCTTTGATGCCCTTCAGGAAGGAGGCCATCGCAAGGCCAAGTTCGCCCCCTTTGGAAATGCCAAGCAGCCCAACTCCTGGACCTTTTACCTGAGAAAGAAACAAATGAAAAATGGAGGCCTAGTCCTGGAATACTGTGAGAGCCAGAAAGCAATGAGGAAGTAAGCTGAGACCTGGGCTCCATCTAATTACAACCTCATTACACCCTGGGGACATTTATCTACTCCTTCGCCATAGCTTTCTTTTCACAAGTTACTGGTCATCATTCTTTGTGACTGCAACAACCACGTGATGGCCCTTACCACACAGACGTAAAACTCTTTCCATCTAACCCAACGATAGCAGACATTCCCACTTACATCACCCAAAGCTCTTGTCACTAGCACGAACTGGTTTAGGTTCAAAAACATCTCACAGGCCGGGCGGTGGTGGCGCACGCCTTTAATCCCAGCACTCTGGAGGCAGAGGCTGGTGGATCTCTGTGAGTTCGAGGTCAGCCTGGGCTACAGAGCGAGATCCAGGAAAGGCTCAAAGCTATACAGAGAAACCCTGTCTCGAAAACAAAACAAACAAAAAAAAAAAAACAAAAAACAACAACTTACTTTCAGGCATTGCATCTTCTGGCCACCACCTTCGCTCCCTCCTGCTTAGCCCTTCTAGAAACACTCCTTTCTACCTTGCTGAGGCCTGAGGACCCTCCTTTCACTGCAGATCGCCCACGTTCATTCACCCATCAGCCCCTCCACTTCTGAGTCTGTGCCTCATGGGCGTAGTGCTCCCTTGCAAGGACTTTCCACCCCTTTATTACCACCAACCCTTGGTCAGGGGCCCAGAAAAGGGCTAATCCTGGTGAGATCCCCGGCTCACTTCCTCAGGCCTGAGTGGAGCTAACAAAAATGCACGTTCCTGCTGACTGATCTTTACCTGACACCGGCACCCATGTGGCCCACCAGTCCTGCCACACAGCACTGGGGTTTCCCTTTCCACGTCTCCAAAGGACCGCCTCACAGCCTCTCCTACCTCCTCGGCCTCTTGAGACCCCACCTGCCCCTCCACCTGCTGCTCTCCATGCTGCGGTGACAAACCAGGAGCTGTCAGGGGGAATCTCTCATCTTCTCACTCCCCAGCCTGCCTGTGCCCATGGCCGCTCTCGAGTGTCCTACACAATCCAGTTGTGTTTGGGATGCTGTCCACTCTCTCTCTCTCTAGGGTTGGCCTCCCACACTTACTTCCGGCCTCCTCTCCTTCCCACTTCTCTCAGCTGGCACCCCTGAGGTCCTCCCAGCTCTGGGCCTCATCTGTTTCCTCACAGCCCTGTGCCCCAGGCCACACTAGTTATGACTTTGTTCTCTACCCTGGATCCCTGAGAAACCAGTGAGGAGACGTTTGTTGTACTTTCCTGCTCAGTGCCTTCTGGGTGGTTTGGGTTGGCACCATCCCACAAGGACCGCTCCTGTCCTGAATCCCAGAGTCCTCTGGGCTATAAGCAAAAGATCATTTGGCTGACCTCTCCCAACAATCTTTTTTCTTCTCTTGTGGCTTCAATAACAACACCCTTGAAACTTTCAAATATTATACTGCACGGAAGTACTAGGAATTAAGTGATGGCGTAATTACCCTATTTGTTAAAGGACAAAACAGAGGTCCCAAAGTCACAGGATTAGAATTTGTTAAAATCAGGGCTGGTGAGATGGTTCAGTGGGTAGAACACTTGCCGCATAAGCCTGATGACCTGAGTTTGACTCTCAGAACACACATAAAAGTGGACAGAGAGAGCTGACCCCATAAAGGTGTCCTCTGACCTCCACACACTCATGAACACACATGTTCTTGTGCGTACACACACACACACACACACACACACACACAATGTCAATAATTTAAGAAAAAAATTGGCAAAATCTAGTCTCCCACGTCTCTCTAGACGCAGCCTACACTGGCTCCACTTCTCCAAGAGCGCCAACGCTTCCAGCCACTTGAAGTTCTGATTATAAAATTATAACACAAGCAAGGATTACCATCAGCCGGTGCTGTGCTGATCTACAAAGTTCAGAGCACCCGGGTCTGCTGCCGCTGATTGTCAAGTTCACCCAGTGCTCGCACAAGGGCATGGGGACACGGGGACACGGGGACACAGGGACAGAGACATACACGGGGACACGGGACACGGGGACACGGGACACGGGGACACGGGACACGGGACACGGGGACATGGGACACGGGACACGGGGACACGGGGACATGGGGACAGAGACACACACGGGGACACGGGGACATGGGACATGGGGACACGGGGACAGAGACACACACGGGGACACGGGGACACGGGACACGGGGACACGGGGACACGGGACACGGGGACACGGGGACACGGGACACGGGGACACGGGACACGGGGACACGGGACACGGGGACACGGGGACACGGGACACGGGGACACGGGGACACGGGACACGGGGACAGAGACACACACAGGGACATGAGGACACAGGACACGGGGACATGGGGACACAGGACACGGGGACACGGGGACACGGGGACAGAGACACACACAGGGACACGGGGACACAGGCAGGCGAGAGCTGCTGAGCACGTCATCTGAATGAGCACTGGCTGGGGATGGCCCTGTCTTTCTCCCTCCCTTTACTTGAATCAAACCTAGAAACCTCCAGGGGTCTTGGGCTCTTTGTGAATAGAGAGAGCGAGGCTGTCATCAGCTCTCTCATTCTGTGAAATCAAGCACATGACGAGGAGATATGACAGGGGCCAATAAAACTTGAGGAGATCTAACCTCGGGGTGGCTAAGCAGGTAGTTCACGGCTTCTTCAAAGTACTCTATGCGCATGGTTTCCATGCCCTTGGGGAGGTCATCGTAGTTATAATAAGCCAGAGCCATGACAGCAAAACCCTTCCCCGCCAGCAGACTTGCTCGATACTCCAGAAGGCCACCTCCAACTCCGAAAAGGTCCACGATTCCAGGATAGGGCCCAGGCTCTGGGGAAGAAACAGAACTAAACATTACTGAAAATGTTCACAGTGGAATTAATAGGCATTTGTTGCTTAATCCGGGATGAGCATGTTTTCTACTGATCATCAGGAGACTGAAGGAACTCTTGTCTCTAAGCATCTAGAGTGGCCTAGGATAATTTCACTTTCCTCTCTACCCACTCTATCTAAGACTCAAATCCACAGACATTTACAAAGAGCATATTACTTTTAACATTAAAAGTACACTAAGGTCTAGGGGCAGAGTGCTATCTAGCATGTATGGCATACTAAATTTGATTGCAAACATACACACACACACACACACACTGTGGAATATTATTTTCAGATGTGTTACATTTGTTTATGCTGTGGAACATTTGTTTAATGATGCAAAGATGTGTTGCATTTTTTTATGTTGCATTTGTTTAACTCTGTGAAGCTGTGTTCCTTTGCCTGTGTAAAACACCTGATGGTCTAATAAAGAGCTGAACGGTCAATAGTGAGGCAGGAGAGAGGATAGGCAGGGCTGGCAGGCAGAGAGGATAAAGAAGAGGAGAAATCTGGGAGGAGAGGATCAGGAGTGAGAAAAAAGGGGGCCAGCTATCCAGCCAGGACTGAAATAAGAAGGAAAGAAAAGATACACAGAAATAGAGAAAGTAAAAGCCCAGAGGGAAAAGGTAGATAGGATAATGTAAGAAAAGCTGGCAAGAAATAAGCCAAGGTAAGGCCGGGCATTTATAAGAAAGAATAAGCCCCCATGTGTGTTTATTTGGGAGCCAAGTGGTGGGTCCCCAAAAGAGCAAAGAGTAAAAACAACCAACTATACACCACACACACACACCACACACACATCTCTCACACACACACACATCACACACACATACCACACACACACCACACACACACACACACACACACACACACACACACACCACTATCCTCTCTGATAGAAATTGATAGTGCCAACTGCCAGTGAGGATATGCAGCAACCATGCTGATGAAATGCAAAACCAGGTAGCCTATAGAATGCAGTGGGCAGTGGTGGCACACACCTTTAATCCCAGCACTCTCAAGACAGAGGCAGGAGGATCTCTATGAATTTGAGGTCAGCCTGATCTATAACAAAAGCAAGTTCCAGAACAGCCAAGGCAACACAGAGAAACTCTATCTTGAAAAAAAAAAAATTAAACCCATTCTTACCATGTGACCCAGTCATCCCACACCTAATTGCCCAAGTGAAAATTCTGGTTCATACACAAACGTCTCTGCAAGCATCTGTAACAGCTTCATTCATAATCTCCACAGGCTGCAATAAACCTAACATCCTTCACCTGGCAAATGAATCAAAGCAGAGGCCCGGTGGGTAGAAGACCCCATGAATCTCAAATACATTCTGCTAAACACGCGGACAGACTCCAAAAGGCTGGCATTTTCATTCTGCCTGATTTTGTGTCCTTAATATTTTTACCAGTTGAATCGGGAGGCTTGTCTTCTCCCTGTCCAACTTCAACAATAACCCAGCAAGCACCTGGCCGGCACCTGCTCAGGAACAGACGAGTACTGAATGACAGAAGCCCTTGTGGGTCCCTACTTCAACACTACCGTGGGTTCGGGTGCACTTCTCCGTAACCACTCACAAGTGGCCTTTAAATATCTTGTTGATTTTTGCCTATTTTGCCTTTTTGTTTTGTTTTGTTTTGTTTTGTTTTGTTTTGTTTTGAGGCAGACCACCAAACAGCCCAGCAGGACCTAGTATTGCTATGTAGCCAAAAATGGCCCAGAGCTTCTGAATACCCTGCCTCGACCTTTGAGTGCTGCACCGTGCCCAGTTTATGCTGTGCTGGGGGTGAAATCCTGGGCTACTCAAAGGCTAAGCAAGCCCTCTACGGACTGAGCCACACCCTCAGCCCAACCTTGTGAAGTTTATCTCAATGGCATGACATTAAATGGCCTCTCCTGGGAGTTGGTTCCTTCACCCCTCACTGCTTGAGTCCTGTTGATTCTCCTGCCTGATCTGTTAGAACTTCCACACACAGCTAAAAACCAAGAAAATGTTAAAATGTTTGAAAAACTGGGCGCAGTAGCAGAGTGCTTGCCTAGTTTGAGTTCCCACGCCACCACAAGGAAAAACTGAAGAAATTCTAAAACAAAATTGAGGGTGGGTGAGTGTAACACTACGGACTTCATTATTAGGGAGTCTCTCCCCTTATTAGCAGCTGAACGAAGGACCAGCTTCAGGGAAAGAGCATCATCATCACAACAGGCTCCTTCCAGTCCAGTCCAGTCTCTTTCCCCGTGAGTCCTGGGTCATCGGGAGCTACCTTTCTCTGCACTTCAAATCACAGAGGAACTTTGAGCAAAGGGAAGGAAGGAGGAGGCTCACCTGGGGG